CAGAACAACAACAGGAAATGGGATGGCCTGGGTGTGAGACCTGACCCTCAGGCTTAAAAAAAAAAAACTTGAACGAGTGCAGGCACACAGAAAAGGTTGAAAAGGTTACTGAAAGGTTTATATAGACGGGAAGTAAGGAGAGTTTTGAGGGGACAGGGATGGAGAGCGGTATTAGTGAACGCACCTTACCCCTATGGCGGTGTGAACTGGGATGGCCGGGAGCTTGCTGACGGCAGACAAAACCAAGAGAGCTCAGGCCACAGGTGCTCGGGCTTTATACCAAGCGGTTTATGGCTAATTAACTCCATCCTTAGTTCCCATCAAGCCCCCTTCAGGAAGTCAAGAGTGAGCACTGATGAAAGGCATGATGGGATTTGTAGTCCCTGGGCCTGGGATTGCCGTGGCATGGAGGTGCATGTGGAGTCCATAAAACATTAGTAGGTGGAGTTCATTCAGGACATTCTGTTCTCCGAACATACCAGGGAACAGAATGGCCTGATTATATGGTAGTTTTGTATTTAACATGTTTTTTTTTTTCTTTTACAAGGAGGGTGTGCCATTTCATAGTCCCAGGAATAATCACTGAGTTCCAAACTCTCCGTGTCTATCTCATTTCTTGTTATTTTCCATTGTTATTATTACTAATTCCAGTGTCTTGAAAATTTTACCCTATTGGACTTTTAAACTTTTTGCTCTTACTTGTAGATTTTAAGTTAATCAACTGATTTTAAGTTAATCTTTATTATAGAAGGTCACAGTCCTGTTTAATTCCCTGTATGTGGAATATTCAGTTTTCTAAACACTACTTGTTGATAAAACTGCTCTTTTTCTGTTGAATACTCTTTTCACGCTTACTGAAAATCAACTGGGGCCCTCCCTAGTGGCACAACGTATTAAAGCACACACTAGGAAGCTAGCCGCAGCCACCTCAGCACCAGTTTGTTTCCGAGCCTGGGAAGTGACCCACATGGCGCAGCAGACCTCTCCTGGCCCCTCACATCTCCCCTCAGCAGTGTATTCTGTCAATCTGCCTTTTTTGCTCCCCACTTTTTGACTCTGGTGAATCCTCTCACCGCCTCTGTACCTCTGGCCTGTACCCCATTTGTGTATGCATAAGTAAATAAATCTTAAAAAAAAAAAAAAAAGAAAAAATCAACTGACCATATGGAAGGATTATTTTGGGTTCTCTATTCTATTCTATCTGTTCTTATAATAGCCGACTTTTTTTTTTTTTTTAAGATTTATTTATTTGTGCATACAGAACTGGGGTACAGGCCAGAGGCTCAGGGGTGGTGAGAGGCTTCACCAGAGACAGGGTGGGGAACAGAACAGGCAGATCGACGAAGTACACTGCTGAGGGGAGCAGTGGGCGGGTCAGAAGAGGTCTGCCACGCCATGTGATCACCTCTGGGCAGGCGGTAATTGAACTCACACGGAAGCAGCTTTAGATTCTCACTGCTGTGCTTTAACCCACTGCGCCACCAGGGAGGGCCAATAGCCGACTTTTTTTAAATATCAAAACTGTGCCACTACCAACATCGGTGTAAATATGCTTCAGTCCTGCTTTCAGATCTTTGGGGTATATAGCTGTGTGCAGGACAACTCCAAAAGTTGGGCAACTCCAGCTTTATTCATTTCAAGATTGCTTTGGTGATTCCACTTAATCTTATGATGGGTTTTTCTACTTCTGTTAAAAAAAAGATTGTCATTGAAAATTTACTGCGGAGTATCCTTAATGAATACATGCTATTTGCCCATTTATTTTTATCTGGTTAAATTTAACTCAGGAAACTTTTGTAGCTTTCAGTATGTAAGTCTTTCATCTCTTAGGTTAAATTTATGCCAAATCATTTATTCATTTGGATTTTATTGTAAATGGATTTACCTTATTTTTTTTCTGATTTTTCATTACTGCTGTTTAAACATGCAATTGAGTTGTATGTTGATTTCTTAGACTTTAATTTTAATTATTATATTCCAAGGGCATAGAACAGTATGGTAATGTGTATCTATTAAGTAAAATCATGAAAAATAAAATCTTAATCATTTAAGTAACTTATAAAAAGAGAGCTGCACATTAAAACCACAGTGAGATAGCATTTCACATCTGTAATAATGGCACATATTAAAAAAAATAGCTCAACAAATGCTAGAGAGGATGCAGACTAAGATGAACCCCATTAAACTCTTTATAGAAAGGCAAAATGGTACCGTTATTATTGAAAGCAATCTAGATATACATTAAAAACCTATCAATAGAAATACATAAATCTACAATACCACTCTTGGGCATCTATCCAAACAATATGAAACTATCAATGGGAAAAATGTTCTATAGTGTTCACAGCAACATTATTCACAATAGCAAGGACATGGAAGCAGTCTAAATGGCCAATAACAGATGATTGGACCAAGAGATGTGGTGTAGCCACACCAGGATGCTAAGTAGCCATAAGGAAAAGTGAAATGCAAAATGGAGAGAGTTAGAATGATATATAGTAAAGGAAGTCAGAATGATTAAAAAACACTGGATGTTTACATAGACAATGACTTAATAAAATCGAATTCTTACAAGAATTGCTTATATAAATAAATATTAGGCTAAAGAGGGTGTAGGGTGGGAAAAAGTGACAAGAGAACATAATGAACAGTGATTACAAAAATCGGCCAGACCACATGTGAAAATAAATTCTAGGCAACACTATCATGCACAATCAAGATTGATATAATGTGTATAAGAACAATAAAATACAATATTTTAAATATTTCACATATTTTTGCTATGGCAACATGTGCTCTTCTATGAGTTTTACAGTTCCGGCTCTGATATTTTCGTGGGCATAAGGAAGATTCTTTTTTCCATTTTATGTATTTTCATATTTTCTAAACATGTTTCGTTTACAATAGCACGTTTTCAATAGCATGAAAAATGCTGCTTTAAAATAGTAGACATTTGTCAGACAAAAAAAATGAAAACATTTTAAGCAAAAGTCAGAGCACTGGTGAAAAATAAAGGAACAAAGGGCACAAAGTATTCTTCAAAGTGTTCTCAGAGTAGTGAATTGTAAACTTTTTAACTCTTCCAGAATTTCTTCACTTTTGCTGAGTCTATGATCTATATGGTTCAAGTTCTCCAGTTAACAGAGAAGGTACTAAGCCATAATCAATGTATTTTTGTAGACTTTAAGGAGAATTTGACAGTTTTATAATTTTGGATTAGCCCATCTTTTCTTCTAAGAAAATGGCAATAAATACCTGTCAGAATGATTTCCTATCTATGAGTTAACTCCTCACTGGTGCCTAGAAGCACATTTGTAGTGGAACCCAGGGAAGGTCAAAGTCATTTGTCTACTTGCCCTTACAGATGCTGTTACCTTAAAAAGAAATTTACATTTTATACAATTGAGATGGAAAAAAAATGTACAAAATGATGTAAAAATAAACTTTTGTAAAATAAAAAAAAATGTACACTGAAGAAAAAAAAGAAATTTACATTTATAAACGTTAGTGTTTATAACTCTTATAAGCTTTAAAATGTGATGATCTATTGAAAACATATGAGGTGTGTGTGAATTAAAAAGTAAGCTAGCCCTACATTAAAAACTTTGAAGATCCTATTTAAATGATTTTAAATACCCTATAAAATAAAAAAAGATTTTATGAGAGTGTCATCCTCTTGCATAACTGAATGTAGTGGTGGATAGTGTTAAATAAATGGAGATCAAACACACAACTCAAAATTTTTACAAAGCAGTCTTCAAAACATTGAAAAGTCCATCGCTGTAACAACAATGCACTGGCTGGTGAAAGTTACCTTAGTATGTAACCTGTAAGTGCAGATAAAACCAAACTAAGAGTTAACCTGAGAAAGCTAACTATAAAATGGCCAGGAAAGGAAGGCTAAGAACAAAGTGGAGAAAGCACAATGGGCTATTGGTGGTACCAGAGCTAACAACACCTGAGGGGGGAACCTAGATTTCTACAACACAAACAATGCTTTAAACCAATGTTATCGCCAGAGAAGGGAGAACAAAACAAAACAAAAAAACTGTTAAAAGCAAATGTAAGAGAGACTCCTGTCTTAGAAGGAATAAAAAGAACAAAAATTTTCTTCTGATGGATGTAAGTCAAGACATAGTCACAAGAGAAAATCTGTAACCTTTCAAAATGTGTAGCATTTCAGTTTGAATTGAGTTAGGCTTTTCAAATCATGACTTTTCAATATTTTTAAGAGTTCACAGTTGTGCTACAGTTTTTTATTTAACTGCACTGCCATACCTAGAAAAATAGTTAGGTGCAGAGAATTTATGGAAGCTTCTTAAATGTCTTAAAACATAAATGAATGATTAGTTAAAGCTTTTCAGTTAAGGCTTGCAGCTGTTGGTGTAAGAAGCATCACATTTCAAAAGAAGTTAGAGCATGAATAAATAGAGTAAGTGAAACAGTGACCTGAGAAAAAAATAAAATAAAGCACTTGGGGCCCTCCCTGGTGGCGCAGTGGGTTAAAGCACAGCACAAAGAAGCTTAAGCCACTTCGCATGAGTTCGATCCCGCCTGCCCTGGAGGAGATCCACAAGGCGAGGCAGACCTCTCCTGACCTGCCCGCTGCTCCCCTCAGCAGTGTACTTTGATCATCTGCCTGTTCTGCTCCCCACTCTGTCTCTGGTGAATCCTCTCACCCTCTGTATCTCTGGCCTGTACCCCAGTTCTGTACGAATAAATAAATAAATCTTAAAAAAATAAAAATAAAATAAAGCACTTGGATTATCATTACTTTGCTTCTTATATTAAAAACATAATGCTGAAATACAGATTTCAAGTATAAAACAGACTTTTAGATCATACTGTGAAACAGGCTATATAAAAATAACATAAAGTAAAAGGTTAAGATTATCCAATACTGTAATATGTAGTCTGTTCACATCATATAAAATTTTAATGATCTACTGTTCATTTTAAATAAAGATCACCAACATAATATCATATTGTTATATTCACATGAATTATTAAACAAAATGTAAACTTAGTTCATTTGAAAAGAACTGTCATTATTTTGTCATGTAGTTTGTCTTCTGTTTATATTGATCATTATTTAAGGTTATCCCCTTGAATTGGTTTTAAACAGTAACAATTAAATAAAAATAGACCATTCACTTTGACAAGAACAGTTGTATAGAGTTGTATAATATTACTAGAGTCACACATTCTAAATGTTGCCTGTTAATGTCAAGTGTTTTTTATGAGCCTTGGTCAACATTAGATTCCACTGGAAACTAGTCTGTTTTTTGGTATCCATTTAAGGTAAGGTTTGTTTCAGAAAGTCATGATTACATAAGAATATCATGATTCAGGGTTTAAAGGTTGGTTTTATAAGTTGGTTTTTTTTTTTTTTTTTTGGCACATTTAAGACAGTGTCCTGGAATTGGTGCCCAAACAATTTTAAGTGTGGTATGAGCTATTTATGTCACTGAGTAAAATTAGAGATGCCTGTTACTAATATGAGGGGAATGAAATCTGAGACAAGGCTAAACATGTGAGAGCCTTTTCTTCCGGGCAGAGCTGGTGGAGTTTAAGTCCTTCACTTTCATTCTACAAGTAATGGGAAAGTTTGAAACATTTGGTCTTGGATACCCTCAAGCTGACTAAAGTTAGTGTGCTTTTCTAATACATCTAAGGTAAGTCATCAGCTTTAACTTGGATTTTATATAATTATAGTGTACTATATAAACATTCAAAAGGCATAGGTTTCTTGATTTTTCCTTCATAGGTTATATAAAAATGTTTAATAAATTTATCTGAAAATAATTACATATTAAGTACCAACAAAATGTACTTCTCAAGTTTTCTTAAAGTTCCTGACCAGTAATATTCTATATATTTTTGGCATCATATTATATGATACAGTTCGAGTTATTCAATGCATACTGTAGTTAATCTTGATAAAGTTGACTCTAAGATCACTTATACTACTCTACTCTGAAACATCTGTGATAGTATTGCATTAGCTGTACAGTTTGTCAGTATTTTTGTTGTAAGTATTAAGAAGTAGATTTAAATTAATAGGAACAGAAGTCCAGATTTTTTTGTAAACTGGGAATAAGCAGAACAGGAGCAAAACACCAACTCTGTTTTCCCAACTATTCTTGGATAAAAGAAGGCAATTCTCTTTCAAAATCTGTGAAAAAAAATTGTGTTGCTCAAAATATATATTAAAAAAGTAAGCATAGCTAGCTAAAATGTCAACACATACTGATGATGCTTTGACCTACTGAAGTTGTCCGTTGTTTGTGTTTCCTAGGTTAATATGGGGCAATCAGAAAGCAAGTTTTTAAAAGGAGGTGGAGAGAAAAGACAGTAAGGGAAAATATAACCAACTAGTTAAAAGATTTGCCAGCAGGATGAAGTAACTCACTGGTACAAAATGTACCAGAAAATGTACTGTTTATTTCTTGCTATTTTCTTGGAAACATTTTGTAGAGCCAGCCAAAGAAGTGTGTTCTCTACTTTTATAGGTTCTAATATGTTTCTATGGCTTTCTTTCGAAGCAAAATGCAGAGTATTTTTGGGTGGGGAGAAAAGCGGGAAGGGGACCCTTTGGACTATGGTGAGAGTTACAGGTGCTTTGGTGGTGGTCATGGTGTGATAATTTACATGTGCAACAGTATGAACCAAAATCCCTACAACATATATGCTATCATTAAGCATATATGATACCTCATTACCTTACCTCAGTCAACATACATTTAAAAAATAAACATAGACATATATATTGAATTTCAAAGTATACCAAATCCCAGTTTCCCAAAGAAAGTTGCCTAAACTGCAGTAGAAATGCTGAAAGTAAATTTGGTCCCTATTATCCCTTAAAACGCATACTTTGTCATTGTTAGGCTAAACTGCTATTACAGTGAATACAAAAATCAAATAATAATGGAACTCACGCAGTTACTTTTGCTTATGTTGTAGGGATCTATGATCTCCCTTCATTCCTATGCTTCTCAGCTCATCAAAGCTGTGTGCTACTTTTTGCCTGGGCCAGACTTACTATTCCTACAGCTTTCCTAGCACGAAGGAAAAATACTAGTGTCCTGGAGTCACTCCACCACCTTTCCATTTGCTCAAAGCCCCCTGGAAACATGTCTTTCCCTCCACCTTTTCTTCCCAGTCTCTTCTGTGCCCGTCTAGCATATTCATCTCTGTACCTATTATAAGGCCAGATATTGTTATGATGTTCTCACGAGTATTCTAAAATTTCCCCTTCTGCTCTACCTGCTATTTCGGACTCCAACTTCATTTTAATTTTGCGTTATTATGTCTTAGAGAATTTTATAGGAAGTAGACATAGAAGTCTCTAATTTAAATTTGTAGATTTACAAAAGTCTCAACTGCTCAAAATGTCAGAGTCCACTTGACTTCAGTATGATTGGTGTGTCATATCCCCTGAGGGAAGAAGAGGCTAGGTGTGTCAAGAGGGCTTATCCCCAAGGAACATGTGCTTTCTTCTAAAGCAGTAGAGACCATTTAAAGCAGAAACATTTAAAGCAGAAAAGTAGCACTGACAGACTTATTCTCTGAGCAGGTCACTCTGGTTGTCATGGAGAACAAAGTGGGGGCATGAAGGAAGAAGGTAGACAGGAAAGCTATAAAAAATCAAACGATGGCCTCAGCTGAAGACTGGGAGGTGGAACCAACAGGCAGCTCTCTTAGCTATAAAGAGGTTATCTTAGAACCAGCCTTAACTTTGTGGCTATTTTAACTCTAAAGATTCTCATTTGGTATACTTGAGAGAAATCTCTGAAAAGCCTACTCTTAGTGGAGGAGCAGTGTCTACAAATTATCACAAGTTTAAGCTATGGAGTTAGAATGACACTTTCTACTTGTATGCCCTTGTGTGAAATACCTACCGTCTACCTCGGCTCTTCACTTGCAAAACCATAGTATGTACCTCCTGAAGCAATAATGAGTATCAGTTTAGCTCATATAAGAAATTTAGAAATTTTCTGCCTTCTTGGTAAGCATTAGCTCTACTTATCATGATCTCTTCCTTTTCATCATCACCACCACCATCAATAACAAGAAAACATATATCTTCTTATTCATTTTTCCACTAAAATGAAGTAAGGGAAAGACCTCAAAATGGTGATGAGCTTTTCTAAACTGCTTCTCCTGGATCTCCTAAGAAGGCACCAGGAGGCCTATGGCAGCAGGAGATTCTATGCTGAGGCTATTTCTGCTCCAATAGAGAATGTCTCCACACTCAGCAATGTTGAGAGGAATGTGTACATTCCAGAACACAAATAGAAAGTCCTCCTTATTAATGTGATCAGTGAACTGAAAATAGTTAACAGTACCTTTATATATATATATATATATGTGTGTGTGTATATATATATATATACATATATAGATAAAGGAAAAATAAATCAAATGATTGTATAGATTTCCTATGAATACTTCTCTTTCATAAAACATTTTAGATCCTAATGCAAATCTTTTTTAAAATGTTCATCTCAATGAAACACAGAAGTATTTTCCCCCATATTAGGATGTATTTATTGTAAAAGTGATCTCCCTTCATTCCTAAATTATATTTCAAAATTATATTAAATAATTCCAATCCCAAAGAAATGTTGACTATAAGGACTGAAGTGAATTACAGCCCCCAAAATCCTTTGAACCTTTTCAAAGAACTGTCAAAGCAATCTCCTATATACCACATTTGATAATTAAGAAAATTATGTCTACCTCAAGAATTTCATTTGTTTACATATATAAAGATTTGCAATTAAAAAGAAGTTCATATTGGTTGACAAATTTCAATAACTATTCTAAAAAGTTGTTCTTAATTTTCTGGGTCTCCCTGGTGGTGCAGGGGTTAAAGTCTCTGCACTATCAAGCTATCCCCAGCCACTGCAGCATGAGTTTGATTCCTGGACAATGAGTTAACTCACATGGTGCAGCAGACCTCTCCTGTCTCACCCACTGCTGTCCATATAGTGTATTTTGGTAGATCTGCCTGTTCTGCTCCCTATACTGTCTCTGGTGAATCCTCTGATCCCTGCGTCTCTAGCTTCCACACCAGATCTTGTATGCATAAATAAACCTTTTTTAAAAAGTTGTTCTTAATTATCTGTGGATATTTTTTAGTATTAGTATTTAGTGATGTGCTGTTTCTAAAGACTAGGAACACTGAGGTTTTTTTTTTGTTTTTTTTTTTTAAATTTACTTATTTGTGCATACAGAACTGGGGTACAGGCCAGAGGTTCAGGGGCAGTGAGAGGCTTCACCAGAGACAGAGTGGGGAACAGAACAGGCAGGTTGACGAAGTATACTGCTGAGGGGAGCAGCAGGCAGGCCAGGAGAGGCCTGCCACATCATGTGGTCACCTCCGGGAAGGGTGGAAATCGAACTCATGAGAAGTGGCTTTAGATTCTCAGTGCTGTGCTTTAACCCCCTGCCAGAACCAGGGAGGGCCAGAACACTGAGGTTTTGAAGGAGGATTTAATAGTTGGTTTGCCTGGATATTTTAGCATCTGTTATAAAAATCAAAAATTTTAAAGAAATAGATGACAGGCTATCTTAGTCTCTGGTTTAATGCAGCTTTCTAGTGTAATTTAATTCAACATTCTTTTTCATTCTATCTTCCTATGTAAATCATGTCCAACTTGAGGGTTCTAACCACACAGGATAAATGGTACTGTAATATAAGATGTACCCCTGCCCCCTCCAAGAGGACTGATACTTAATTGCCTACCAAGTGGTCAAAAAAGACTTGCACATTTCTCCAGAGAATTGCCCTCATCTCAAACTACATCTTTGCCCAACTCATTCTCCTGCCCAAAGCTGCTGATCTCAGTGCCTGGCATGGGCCCCTAGTGAGCATCCTTCTCTCACGCTGTTTCTCTTCACCTAAGCCTTCCATTTCTGAAATGCTTCCTTCTGTATTTTTGATTCTATGTGAAGCACTGTCTACATTTGTCTCCAAATTATTCAGAATCTCTTTTGTATTTTTTTTAATGTATTCAGTCTCTTCAGTGAAGGGCTTTTTTTTGTTCCTGAATTTCCTTTCTGAGGGAGTTTGCACCTGTCCACCTTTGTCTGGCCTTCTGGAAACTCTTAACATTTTCAATATTGTTTTAAAGTCATTGTCAGATAGTTTCTTTATTGCTATCTCCTTTATATGTGTCCCGGAACTTCTTTCTCACTTTGCTCTTACATCTTGTATTGAGACTTTCCTTGCTTTCTAGGCATAAATATTGCTTTATTTATTGCTATTTGTCTGTGTGCTTGGGGTGCTAGAGATTTACCTTTGTCCTCTTCTTAATTTATCTTGGCGTGTGGTAAAGGTAGGCAAAGGGTCTAGAGCTTTCATACCTCATCTTGGTTTGAGGGGTACCTTTAGTCACGCTACCTCTTGTTGACAGCAAGCTGCATTCTGTGCTTAGGTTGGCTCCACCTCCCTGTTGTTCCTTTCTTCTGAGGGCTGCCATCTATGAAGCTTGAGCCGCCCACTGGGATCACCAGACTCACCTTCCAGGAATAGTTTGTAACTATTAAGCAACCTTAAACAAAAGAAGAAAGCTGAAATTTCTGTCTGCAAATTCTAGGACTTTTTATAGAGCTACAGTAAATAAGGTACTGGGATGGACAAATGGCCCAAAGGCCTGTGCTGAGCAAAGATGTCGATGGTAGGCAGAATAATGACCCCCCCCACCACCACCAGCACCAAGTGCCATCTCCTAATCCCCCAGACTTTACATGGTAAAAAGGAGTTTGCAGGTGTGATTACATTAAGACAGTAAATAGGATGATTAGTTGAGATTACCCAGAAGAGCTCAATCTAATCTCAACAATTTGTATTACTGGAGCCAGAGGGGTAAGTTTCAGAGGAGATGTGACAAGGAATTCAGGCAGCGTATTGCAGTCAGGACAGAGAAGGGCAGATTCTTCCACGGACCATCCAGAAGGGTGCAATCCTGCCAACATTTTGCTATTTAACCTCAGAAGAACCATTTTCAGACTTGAACTCTAAAACTGTGAGATAATGAAATCATTAAATATTTAAGTCTTGAATAAGGTAGGATATTATTAGTCCTGCTGAGTATTCAAAATTATCATGATGGATAGCATATAAGTAAAACATGAGAAGTTACCTACTGTTAAATTGGAAAAAGATTTCAAAAACTATTTTAGTCTACTTTAAATAAGGACAATACCTACAAACCACTCCTAAAATAAATGCATGACCTTGCATTTACAATATTGCCAGAGAATATCTTTTATTCTCATTCATCATTTCACTATGTATATAGTCAAAAAATTTACTTGATCTTGTATCTTTATAAGTTAAAACCACTTTTTCCTTTGTATAAAGAGAAAATGAATATTATTCTAAAATCCCTTGATAGAAATGAAATTGTTACTCAAACTATTACCCTAATTTACATAAAACAATAAATATTTATAAATATCTGTATACAAACACATTTTCTGATATTTCTAATAGTTGTTCACTATTTAGGAACTTTATTACAGGCAAAAGTTAGCGTGCAGGGTTGTGTACAAAGAGCCTTTTCATTTGTAATTTAGTAGCTGAAGATGTAATTTAATAATTTGAGTAAAACTGCAATTTCAGCTCAATTGTTTAAAAGCTATAAAGGTACCCACTTGATTTTTCTCCCACTGAATCTTTTAAGAAACTTGACAACTTGATTATTTGGGGATGGTAGTTCATTTCAGCTCCAAATGTAATCCTGCAAAATTTTGAAAGATCTATATATATTGAATTTATTTATTAATATCTGAAAATATGATCACTGAATTTCTAGTGGGTTTGTAGTAATTAAGATATCTTGAATGACAGATGAATGTCACTCTGTGTTTGGAACACAGTGACATGTTTTTAAGTAATATTTCATTCTTTTAAAAAATCATCAATTTTGGAAATGTGTTATTGGGATAGAAATATATTTTGTTAGAATCACTATTGACAAACCAGTTCTTTCTCTCCCTCTTCCCTTCCCTCCCTCCTGTCCCCCTCACTCCCTGCACCACCCATGGTAGATGGTACGTCAACAGTACATTACAACCACAGAAGGCACCCACATTGAGAGGCCAGAGAATCAGTCTATCTACAAAATTGGCATTTATGGCTGGAGAAAGCGTTGCCTCTATTTATTTGTTCTTCTCTTGCTCATCATTCTTCTGGTGAATTTTGCTCTCACAATTTGGATTCTGAGAGTGATGTGGTTTTTCCCAGTAAGTATTTTTTCCTGGCCAGATGCTCTTGTTTTGTTTGCTGAATCACTTTAACACATTGTATTGTTAGAAGTCTTGCTTTAGTGTATCTGGTGTTTCTTTTCTGCCTGGAACAGAATTTTCAGTAGCAAAACATGCATATAAAATGAACTCTTCTTACATTTTTATGAAACTTTACTGTGAACTATAGCTTATTGGGTGTTTTGTTTGCTCTTACTGTAATTGTATTGTAATTTTTCCCATTAGTCACCGTCTTCTTTTTTTTAAAGACAGGAATGGGTCACTTGCGTGTTATAAAAGATGGACTTCGTCTAGAGGGAGAATCAGAATTTTTATTCCCATTGTATGCCAAAGAAATACACTCCAGAATGGTAAGAAAATTGTGAAACATCTAAATAATTTGTGTTTTAAGAATAATAAAAGCACAGAAATCCAATATATTTCAGTGATATTTTAATGTGTACATGTTTACTTATTAAATTGTGAAACTTATGTCTGATAGTACATTCTAAAGAGATTATTTTCATGTGTTTCAGATTTGAATTTGGTGACCTCACCAATTTAGAACATAGTAAAGGGACTTAGAAAACAAAACTTTTACCAAAAACAATCTATTGTTACAGAGCAATCTTTGTTTTACTATGTGCAAGAGGAAAATCTAGATATAAGATAGTTCTTTTATTCTTACATAACAAGAATCTGGAAAGGGCACCTACAGCATGGGTTTAAAACACTCAGCAACACGGGATCAGTATTTTTACCATCTCCTACCTTCCCCAGAGTCACTAGATGTCTGCTGGACGGTATTGCAGTTATGTGACACAAAGAAATGGGAAATGCCATTATGTGTCTCCCGTTCAAAAGTTTGCCCAGAAACTCTCAGCCCCACCCCCAGCAGATGTGAGGTAATTTAAATCTCATAGGCTAGAAACATAGCCACTTGCTTATTTCTACTTACAAGAGGATGAGAGCGCTATAAACCTTCCCCCACCCCCTACAGTAGAAAGAAATGGTGACAAAGGACTTGATCCACCTTGGATCAGACTATGTAAATGCTTCCCAGTGTAACTTCCTTAGTCTCGAAATGGGAGTGATTCTCCCTTTAACCTCAGCTTTAACCTGAGCCCTGTCCTCTCTTTCCAGAATGATTTTAAAAAAGAGCATGGAAACTGGCAAGTAAAGATTAGGTCCTATCATGGAAATGCCACCCATAGCTGTGTCTTTGGGTGAACTATAATTTAACCTCTTTGAATTCAATTTCTTTATGTATTGAAAGTAACGATACTTCAAAATTTCATATTTAAAATGAAAGGATGGATGCTATTGGTGAATTATTATTAATTCATATTATCATACTAGTTAGAAAATCACTAACAGTGCAAAAACAAGTATTAACATCTCAGAGGATTAAATGTGAGACAGAGCCATCTGTTTTCAAAAAGCAAGTTGGTTAATTTCTTATCAGGTAGATAGAATTCCAAATGTTTCTTTGTGGAAAAAAAAATTGTATTATTCCCTATAACTCTCGAAGATACTTGATTTCCTCTGAATGAACCATAAAACTATCTAAATCCAAAACCAAATTATTATATACTTTTTAAACTATATTCCTTTTTAAGAAAGTTATTTCTATAAAAGCAAATAATCTATAAAACAAAACCACAGAATCAGAACTATGATTGAAAACACATTTGTATAAAACCACTTTATCTCTCAACAACAACAACAAAAAACAAACAAAAAATATAGGGGTCCAATAAATTTGGGAAGTTTTTAAAAGAATGTGACAAGCCTTTACATTTTGAACATAAACAACATGGTATTTATTATAGAAGAACTAACCATATTATAGAAGATTTGATTTATCTTCTAGAAATATATTGTGTCACAGAGATAAACAAAAAAAAATCAAATCTCAGTTACTTGTAAAAGAAAAAGCACCGTTTAACTTGATTGTTTCTGATATTCGGCTTGAAAAGTAACATGCCACACTGTAACATGTATACACAAGCTCTAGAAACCCATGAAAGAGGATCACTGAATCTGTGACTATGGAGAAATTATTTTGTATCAACCTTAAGTTTATATATATAATATAAAATGTAGTGATTTAAAATAGTATCCATAACTTTATAAAAATCCTTTCCTAGGATTCATCTCTGCTTCTACAGTCAACGCAGAATGTGACATTAAATGCACGAAACTCTGAAGGAGAGGTCACAGGCAGATTAAAAGTGGGTGAGTCCAGCTTCATCACAGTAATTTGTAATAATGTGGTTATAAAGAATTGAAATGAATGAATGAATTTGGTTTTTCTTCTAAATAATTCAAAGTTATTTAGGAATGTCAAATTATGAGTTTTGCAATTATGCTGTGTCAACAACAGAGGGAATAGTTATCACTTAGGAGGATGGCCTTAATTAAAATTATTTTGATTTCAAGAACTAGAAGATCATTCAAGACAAAGGCAAAGGAAACAAAGTTAATAACCACAAGACAACAGAGACCAGAAGCTAAAGCTCAACTTTAGGAGCCAATCTCTAGAGAACAGAGATCATAAGGCCTCCCTTACCCATTTGCTCATTAGACCCTTCTTTTCCAGTATATTTCAACTGATTATTTTCACGTGGTATTATCACATCAGTTTTAATGCTGTAACTTCCCTGATTTTCTATCTGATTGACTCAAGCTCTCAGCACCAATCAATGTAGTCTTGAACGTCATGAATTCTAAATTCATAACAAAGTGCTTTAATTGGTCCAACTACTCTATTCGACTATGTACAACCATCAGCTAAGGTCAGATAATGAAGTCACAAGGGACTGACGTCACATGAAATTTAGCATGGTAAGAAAATTATATAGAAATATAGATATAAAAAAATCAAACCAGCTGACAAAAGGAATGTGTATGTATTCTTTATACTATCAAACATGCTATGCATTTGCTAAATCTAAGAAATTGGATGGCCCTGTGATTATGGGGAAATATGTGAGAGAAGTACTGCTAACACAAATGTGTAATTTCAAGTGTTTCTCCTTTTTAACAGCCATTACAAAAAGGAATAATGTTACAATAGTTACTACAGACATGTATTAAGCCAGTGACTCCTTTTTTTAAATTGTACTAATATAGACGCTCCACACTTTATGTTCTGTTTAATGTATATAACAATCATAAATAATGAATTGTGGTCTTTTGCTTAAAAGTTTGATTATAATGTCCAATGAAATAAATTCTCAGTGGATATAGTGATAAACACATTTTAAAAAATTGTCAAAACTGTATTTTCCTGAAGAATTGTATAATATTTGTGATTTACCTTTTTCATTTTCTCTTAAAACTATTTCACTGGCTATAAGTATTAACTGTGTGAACCCATCTTTCGTTGTGCATTCACCAAACATTTACTGAATGCCTATGGTTAGTTTTTATAACTCAAGTAAATAGTGTTTTTGTCCTTCACTAGTGGTTCTCATCTGTCTTCTCAAACTTTTCTCAATTTGTTTTTGTCACCAGAGAACCTTCGAGAAATCAGAATTGGAAGCAGGAATGTGGTCAAGTATAGTCGTAGGATTTGTAAATTATTGTCCTTTCACTCAATGTTATTTTGTAGTTTGAGTCATTCTTGCCTTCAAATAATTAGCTGAAACTATAGTTTGTTTATAATTCTGTGAAGATATTACATATAACTTGGGAGAAGGTTCAAGAAATAGAACGACAACAAAGTTACCACAGAACTAAATATTGTGTAAGATGCAAAGGACTAAAAAACCAGTTTAAACCTGGGAGAGATTTCCAAGACATAAGATGGATGAAGAAAGATGGTGTGTCTGAGCTGTGTCTTTAGTAATCTTGGTCACATAAAGGCTTACAAATGGAAAATGAAACCAAGATAGTGTAGTCAAATCAGAGCTATAACTTCAACAAAGCAATCTGAGAATAAATAAAAGGGGATTCATCCAAAACAATTGCTATGAATAGCACTAAAGTTTAATTATAGAGTGAAAAAAATATATTGGTAATAACTCTTAAATGTTTAGAAATTCCATATTACTGGGTAAGATAGCATGTGTAAAATAGAGCTTGAAACACTGCTTATAGTAAGTATTTTATAATAAACTTTAAAATGAATTCTTCAGGTCCCAGAATGGTAGATGTCCAGAGTCAACAGTTTCAGATCAACAACAAGGATGGCAAGCCACTGTTTACTGTTGTAGAAAAGGAAGCGGTAGTTGGTGTAGATAAACTTCGAGTAACTGGTACGTAGTAATTTAAAAATTTTTTTTGTAACTTTTTTAATGGAGTAACATTGGCTTCACAACACCATATAATTTAGAAGTATAGGTTTACACCTCTTCAGGTGTATGGTATTGGACCAGAACCAACACGAAAGCACCCATAATCCTCCTCCATTAACATTACCCTGTTTAGTAGCCTCATTCTGTAGTCCTAGTTCAAGCTAGAAAATTCATAACCCATATGACAACACACACTAAAGCAGTTTTCTTACTAAAAGACTAAGAAATATAATTATAGGTGATTTAATCCCTAATCAATAAATGGTCAGGTTTCTCAAGTATCTTGGTTATCAAAAATCCAGCAGTGTAGTTAGGAGAATATGAACTTGATACAGATTCTACTTCTATGTCAATTGCATGATCACAGGCAATTTACTTAATCTTAGTTTGCTGTTCCTTCATTTTAAAAAATGGGTTGATAATATCTATCATATGAAAATGACAACAGAGGTTTTGGCTGAGTATTACTGTACTGTAGGGCAATGAAGTCTTTGGGGGAAAATAGTCAAATGAAAAGCTTAGAGGTTTCAAACCTAAGTCATCCTATACAAGGCAGTTTTCTTTGCCTATACAAATGCACATTTTCTTTGCCTAGACTTCTTTATAGACCATGCATGACATCAATTTCGGTATAATAGAAGATAAAAATTGATAAGTAGCCTTATTATTTATTACTGTATGCATGTATCAAATCACTTGGAGGGCTTGTCAATATATATATTTTTGTCTATCTGTAATGGTACCTAAGAATGTACATTTCTTCCAAGTATGCAGAAGTGCCAGGGGGCACATGTTTCAAATGCAATGAAATTCTCTGAACAAGTTATTTTTCGACTTATTATACATCTTAAGATCAATGTAACCATTACAAGGAAGAACAGATTGCTTAGAGGAAAAAGTGGAAATAATAAGACCAGTAAGACGGATGTTAATTGTAGTATGTGACAGAAGATAGTGACTTAGATTAGATAGTAGTTGTTAAGGATTAACATAGTGAAACATGCATATGGATCAAATGTGTAGCAGGCATTTTGGAGAGAATCAAAGACGAAAAGTGCACTTGTTTCTAAATGATAGTCTTACTTCTTTGGTTATGGAGAAAACTGGGGAGAATAAATTTACAGAGAATCATAAGTTAATACTGTAGATACATAAATTGAATATATCTGTGAAAAGGCCAAGTGGATGGATATGTCAAGTCATCTATTGGCTATTTGAGCTATATATCACTCAAAGCATAAGTCCTGACTAGAGCTGTAAATGAAACTGTCATTAGTTAACTGAACTCAGATAAATAGATAAGCATATATTTACAGCTGTGAAGAAAGATAAAATGGCGGCATTTGGGAGAAACTGGATGAATTTTGAGGTAATTATGTGGGTGAACTCAGTCAAAAAATGAAAGACAATTTCATATGGTTTCACTCATCTGTGGGAAATAAATACCCAAAAGCAATTACATGCAAACAACAGAAGGAATAAAAATTTGAACTCGGAATAAAGGGTTAGGGAAAGTGAGGCAGATGGAATAATGGCATGGGTAATTTGGTGGAGGGTCTTTAAAAAACGAAAAAAAATTAACTGAGCTCTGAGATGTGCAAAAATTATAGGTGGGGAAAAGGAAGAGTAGCTTCCAAGGGAGTATGAGAAGAATAAGACAATGTTAAGGGAGAAATAACACAAGGACTGTGAAACTAAGAGAGCCTATGTTCCTGGAAAGAGATCCAGAAAACAGGTGGGAAATTACCATTGAATTATTTACTATGGTCATTATTATTTTCTTAACACAAGCACTTTATGTACAAAAAAACCAAAAACCAAAACAAAAAACAGTTTTAAGTGGTGACAATGTGATGGAATAGCCCATAGAGACATTATGTGGAAGTTTGGCTTAAAGCAGAGCAATGGATTTTTTTTTTTTTTTGGCATCACTTGAAATGCCATCTTTGTCCATAAATGGCTGATGAATGTGTAAGGTTAATCTTATAAGCAATGATTTATGTAGATACAAAAAAACTAACAAAGGTCAGTATGTATATCATCTACTGTTTGAATGGAGGTATTAATATGAAACTTCAGGTACTTGAGTAGCATCATGGTGGGAAGAATGGAGCAACTTGAAGTAATTTCCCCTCCAACCACTGGGTTCTATTGATAAACTCTTCAACTGCCTTCACTACTATTTTCATTGATTTTATATCACAATCTGTAGCTTTAGAATAAGTATCTTCATTACAAATTGTTCTAGTATCTAGAGGGGGAGAGTGGTGTCATCCAAATACTACTGATGCTTTAGAGTAGAAATGAACAGATTATTTACTGTTAATCTCAGTGACAAATTCTAAAAAAAAAGTTAACATCATAAACACAGGTGAGTTGTTTTTTTGGATTATGCTTCCCCACATAAATAATGTTTATATAGGGTCATATTATACAGGATCATTTTATTTACATAATGATATAATAGAACATTTTCTGTTGAAAATTAGAAAAACATTCAGAATACACAATCAAAATTTTGTACTATTTTCCACAGGAAACAGATGTCACACTATTTTTAAATATAATCTTGATTGGGAATATTAAATATGAATGCAAATATAAATGAAATATAATTACAATGAAAATCAACAACCACTTACTGAGAATTATTTTATGAAACTATTTAGAAGCATCCATTTTTATATGCAAATAGATCTGAGGAGTATTTGAGACTTAAGAGTAATGGTAGTAATGGTATAATCATGATGACATAATTTGAGCATTTACAAGTCAATAACAAAGTTGCTCCTCTTAGTCAAACATAGTACATGTTATTTTATAGACTGCCTATAAATGCATTACCATTATCACATGCTACTATAATATCACTTATTGGTAATATTAGAAGTTAAGTAATTGGCATGCATTTAAAAACTAATTATGAAGTTATATTTCCTTGTAAAATTGTTGCCATTAACACTTAACAATTTAGTTTTTAGGGGAAAAAAACTGAAGCAGTATTAAAATAGTAACTGCCTTTAAAATTACAGCATATTGCAATTTATAGCTGGATTTTTAAATACTATGTTTATAAAGTTAAAATGGTTAACATTTTTTCTCTTAGTCATGAATTAATGTTGCTTATATAAAAAAGAACTACACAAGTTTATGGCCTGCATTTCTTTTGTTTCTAACTATGGAAAGTAATGATTATTTTTTCATGATTTATAGAGTTCATCCCTGGTTCTTCATAGCAGGTTTTTCTAGTCATGTTTCAGTTATATAAACCTAGACAATAAATATACCAGCAACTAAAACTATAATTGTATATCTCTACCTGTCTTATTAATAAATGATTTGATAGACCACGTGGTCTTCATTTTATTTTATTTTATTTTTTTTACATTTTATCAATCAGGAAAAGCAAGGGGGGAAAGAAAAGGATAAAAGGGGAAAGGATAACACGCACAAATTGTGTTACATTATTTCTCATGTCAAGTAGAAAATGTTTTTATATTTCAGACAAACCAGACATTGACCTACAAAATTTGATTAACATAGAGTTTTTTGTGGAAACTCCAATCCTTAGTATAGCATTACTTTACATAATGACTCCCATTATCATTGAACTTTGCTCAAATAGTATTTTAAGAAATGTATTCCTGTTACAGCATGTGTAAGCATGTTTCTCATCTGAATATAATTTGCATGAAGTGTTACCCTTCACTTATGTTTGTTACTTTATTTCTGTTGATTATATTTTTATGTTAACCATGTTACTAAATTTGGTTTGTAATTTTGACATTTCACTTTATGTTGATTAAAGTCTCTTACTTGTGTGCCACAAATTATTATTTCTTGAGTGAGGGCTTTCAATGTATGCTTTGCTCATGTCTTCATATTTCAACAATATTGAAGCAGCAGCAGCTGTACTACTTAATCTGTGTAAGCCCATAAAAATAAGAATGTTTTAAATATAATATGAAAGATATATTTGCATTTCCTTGTCAAATCCTTTACTTTTCCAGTGAACTAGATTGTTTGTTCATTCTGAAATGGTCACATTTTCCTGCGTATAAGCTACTGTCATTGTCCATACCCTCCATATATTTAAAACAGTGCCAAGGAAGGAGACAGGTCACTATCTCTGGGTTCTGTCTGTGTGCTGACAACTATAAGCCATCACTCAGGCTCAGGGTGCACCAACAATGGGGCTTATTTACAAAGGGGCAAAAGAAAGAGTTCCTAAGACCACCAGCAACTAGCTCTCACCCCAGAGAGTATCCACAGTGCTAGTAGTCTAAAACAAAAGCTGCTCATGCAAGATAGAGCTGTTTCTTCAGAAAGAGCCTGGAGCTGGTGGCACTCTGTAAACAGCGCACCAGGATCCAGCTCATGGTGGCAGCTAGAGGTGTCACAGCTGAGTGGGACAGTGTTGAACAGGGGACAATGCTGGACAACTGTAAGTGTGTAAGTGGTGGTGAGCTCACAAAGGTGGCCCAACACAGAGTGCCAGCCTCTATAGCAAACATGTGGATTCCTAGAAATCAGAAGTTCAATTTTAAATATTAAAAAATTTTTGCTTTTCTTAAACATCCTGTTATGCTTTAAGACACAAACCGTAAGATACAAATTTTAGTCATAAAATCTGGAGAATGAGTTTAATTACCCTAAAATTATGTACTGAGGCAGTTTTAAACAGAAATTGCTGCTTTTGTAATTTGAGTTTTAAATATTCCACTCTAAAATAAGTGTTTATTTATAATTGCTTTGAAAAATATTTTGTGAATAGGAACCTCATGAAATCTTGGAAGAGTAAGGCAGATCTATGCCAATTTTTATTATCTAGAATGCAAGCATCTATACAAATCCAGCAACAAAAATCAAATCTATGGTGTTTTAAAATGTCAGCCAATAGGACAGGTTTGTTTGTTTAGTGAAATTTACTTAACTTTTGTAAAATGATCCATTATGTTTCTTGTTTAGGTCCTGAAGGGGCTCTTTTTGAACATTCAGTGGAGACACCCCTTGTAAGAGCTGACCCATTTGATGACCTTACGTAAGAATTATATTTTGTTCAAATATAAACAAGCTCTCTTATGGAAGATAGCTGGATATACGTTCAAATAGTGTTTCAGTTATTATTATCAGATTCTTATTCCACTAGCTGTCTTTATTCCCATGACTTTCTGCTTATAACTAATCGTGTTCACAACCAGTGAACCCATGGCCACCATTTTTCTACTTTCTGTTTCCATGACTTTGTCTACCCTACGTATTCCCCCATATTAGTGGAATTACCTCTTTGTCCTTTTATAACTGGCTCACTTCACTCAGCATGTCTGTAATCTTTGGTATATACTTATCTAACATTGGAATATATAAAATCACCTAATTCAACGTATGAATTTACTTATTATACAGTATATGTATGCCCAAGGGTGTTTACTTTATCACCAGACTACTGAATGCCATTTACTGCTGTAACTGTGTATTCTAATAGTATATTTGTATTTTATTTAAAAAACAAATAATAACCATTGTGAACTTGCAAAATGAGAATGTAAGGCCTTTAAACATATTTGTGCGTGTACCCCCTCAGTGTACTACAGAAGCCCTGGATGACTGCCTACTCAAAATGCCCTGCTTAATTGCTCCACCAGCAATGGCAGCACATCTGTGTCCATTTCTTGACTTTAAGAAGTGCTTCTAAACTCTCCAAATTAAATGATGTCTATTACAGGTTTTTGGTAAATATCTGTTATCAAGTTAGGAAAGTTCCATTTTAGTCTAAGTCCCCAGATTTCCTCTCCCTAGTCATTGAAACAAGCTGTAATCATATCAATTGAATATTTGATATAAACTAATCTGCAAAATGAAAAAGTCAGTACTTTGGGGGACATTGTATTTTATGCTATCAATGCAAGTTCTTCATTTTGTTCTTTATTTCTTAGTAGAATTTTTTCCTTGCCACTTATAAAAGTTGTCCTCTTGCTTTACAGCAAGTTATATGTATAAATAATATATATACATATGAGTATATGTGTAATATATATAAGTACAAGACATATTATACCAATCTTATAAATTCCATTGTTAATATCTTCTATATACTAACACTTGTATACTTTATCAGTTCACTATGGAGTTTACTAAAACTCCCACTATAATTTTATATTGCTGACTTCCTCTTTATTTAGATGTTTAGATGTATACAAATCTGTGCCAATTAATCTTATGAATTGTTCCTTTGAATCATTAAGTCACTGCCCCTATTTTGTCTGGCATTAATGTTACTATACCCAGTTCTATTTTCCTTTGTACTAATTTACCTTTTCCCAAATATTTTTTTCAATATGGTTTAGTTATTGCTCTTATGGTAAATTTCTTGAATTGAGCTTTTCTTTAATGCCTATATATTTTTTTATCTTTTAATAGGTGAATTTAACCATTTACATATTATGGTTTACTTGCTATATTTCTACTATTTTATTTGCTGGGTTTCTTTTCACTATTTCTTCTTTCTGATTTTTTAGCATTCTCTTATTCTATCAACTCATTTTTTCTTTCAATGATTCGATATTTTTTCCTCTAATGATTATTCTTCATATGCATGGATATAAATTTAGTACTTTCTAAGGTAGTTTATGATTTTCCCAAATAATACTAATAAATTTAGAAAGTTATTTCCATCCAAATTTCCCTCTCAAATTTTATTTTTACTTACCTTTCACTGTTCTATTTTCCAGGAAATACATATTTAGCTTTAATGACACATTTTATTGATTTTTCTGTCTACTCTGACTCTTACAAAATACTCATCTTCTGGTTTTAACTTCCATAAGTACTTTTTTTCAGTAAGGGTCTATCTGCTTTGATAGCAAACTTGTTCCTTCTAATGCCTAATTTCTTCAGAGTTGAATGACAGTTAAGTTGAACTATATCTCCACCAGAATTTACATCATCATTTTAAAAGATACTATTAAGTACTTTAGGTTCTTTGTAAGCAATACAATCTTAATTATGAATATTTTCTAGACTTTCTCACAATCTTAATATTTTGCCACTTAATCACAAGTGTTTTGGTCTTGGATATGTTTGAATTCATACTGTGTCTTGGTATACTTCTTTAATTTTAGGAACTCATGTTATTTTTTAAATTCTGGAAAATTATTAGCCGTACCTCTTCATTCGTGTGTCTTCCTTATTGTGTAGAATACAGAGGTTCTTAAAATAATCTTTGCATCTGCTCTGTAACAATCTTCCTAAATTATGAAAAAATAAACAAAACTTAAGGACAAACTTATTTATTTTATGAACATGTAACAAATACATATATTGTCCTTAAATCTGTATTTTTTCCAAATCAAGTTTGGTTTTTAACTTAAAAAATTAGTTTTAAGAAGTTATTCACAAGTGGAATTTTCTTCTGGTGTAGTATGCCAAACTGTTTAAACATCTGGAACTGCTTATAGGGTTGGGCTGTTTAATGTTCTTATCTACTTTTAGGGCACTCTTATTTCATACACTCTCATTGATGATTATTTATTGCACATGACTTCTACAGTATGTTAATATTCAAGAATGACATAGAGACACTATTTTACTAATTATATTTCTATGCTAAACTTTTCATTATTGGGGTGACCTTTTATTACTATTTTTCTTGGTTTCCTCTCCTCATTTCAGATTAGAAGCCCCAACACGGAGTCTAAGCATGGATGCCCCAAAGAGTATTCATATTAAAGCTCATGCTGGGAAAATTGAGGTCCTTTCTCAAATGGATATCATTTTTCATAGTAGTGATGGAATGGTGAGTTCAATAAAGCAAGCCTCTGATGATACTGGATAGTTTCATGGCCTTTAAGGTATCAATACCTTAAATTTGCAATAGTTTGTAAAGAAGTATTATGAAAGTTGTAGAGTAGAAAAGGTAAAGGAAGGCAAAAGATAACCTAGCATTAAAAGAGGGGCCCAAAACAATTAACATGATTTTATATTGGATCCACACAGATTTCTTGGATTGGTATTTGTACTATAAAGTCTCTTGTTATTTTAAGTTTTGGAAAAATACTACAGACTTTGAGTTTACAGAGAATATCAATTCTGCCATTTCCTAATGGTCCTGCTTCTCTCATTACAGCTGACTCTGATAATTACTTGTAAATGATAAACATCAACTGAAATTGCCTAGAGCTTCATCTTGCTTGCAAAAAAAAAAATTGTTTAAAAGCAAATTAAATATAAAAAGAGCTTTAAAGGATAAAACCTGGAACTTTAAGTCCAGAAAGAAAAAAATCACTGATAAAAGTAGTCATAATGAGGTAATAGTTCACATGCTACTCAATATATATTGTTCTAGGATTAGATCAATTCACTAACTTGAATTCAGGACAGTTAACAGGCCTCTCTGGGTCTATCTTGTTATAAAATAGGGAAAATAATATTTGCTTACCTATGTTATGAGGTTATGAGACAACAATGTGGCAGTATGTGTGGCAACATCATGCAACTATATTAAGAGGTTGGTGTAGCTGCAGTAGCAAATGTCCTTAGTGGTAGCTCATGACAGACCCTACCCAAGTCATCCTGAAATGCCCCTGCAAGTTTCAACTCACTGGTTTGTCAATAGCTGCAGATGAATAGAAAAATAGAAATAAAAAATTTTGGAATTTCATTACTAAATCATAAAATTACTACATACTTAATTTATTACCCTGAAAATTTGTGTATGGGATTTAATTTTCAAATTTTAGTGGTTTTCATAAATTGTCACTTTTACAAGAAGTATATAGCCTGACTCACATTTAATATTTATACTCTTTATTACTAGGTACTAGGTCAATGTGTAGACATGTGTGGCATCCCACAAAATATTGTCCCAGAAAGCAGATAAATATGAGCAAAGAATCAGTATGTGGACTGCTAGTTACAAGAATTTGCTGAGAGAAAAAAAAAAATTAACCAGTTAACTAGAAAAAATACCAATTAACCACAGAAAGAAGAAGAGAAGCTAACAAGTTAGAGGAAAGCAAAGTGCAAAGTATATGAGGGAGAGACAATTAAAGGCCTCAAAATGATGGACAATAAATAGGTACTGCATTAAAACAAACACATATTTATTTTACTCTGAGTGCTCCAGAGTAGAACTTTCTCTGCAATGCACTCCGAGGCTCCCTCATATAGTCAGCATGCCAAGAAGTTATACACACTACAAATGCAATTTATTAAAAGACTGGAATCATGTATGAGATATGTAAACCAAAAGCTCTAACTTTGTTAGCATAGAAGAAAATGATGCCTACCTACAATAAACTTTAATTTCTTCTAAAAAGCAAGTGTCCTAGATTGGGAAATACTTTGCTGCTCAGTGTGACTATTTTTATCTTTTGTACAAAAGTCTTCTAGATGTCAATTATTGACCAAGATAGGTTTGTATTTCAGTTTAGATTTTAATAGGACACAAAAATTTGGTAACTAATTGATTTTAGTCTGTCTACCGTATTTCAGCATGTATTAGAAGGGAGCAGTCCCAAATAATATTAACAAGTTAGGGCAATGGTTGATAGCTATTGGGATGAATTTGTCTCATAGGAAAATAAAATTAGGATAAATCCTAACATTCTCAGGTAGAAATTGTTAAGATAAATATATTTCTGTGAGTTGTATGTACACCTAATAGGGATGAGTTAGCATACAGAGTGGACCACAGGTAATTGTGACTTGGCAAAATAATTCCAGTTTTTGTCAATGAATCCATAAAAGAATTTTAAAGAAATATAATTGTAAATTTCCCTAACTCAACTACCACAATGGGCAAAAGAAAAAGTAACTTCCCTCTAATTTGGAGAAGGAATTATTGAGTTCCTGACAATGTAAATTAGCACTAATCTTTAAAAAACCCAGATAGTTCTAAGATGATTTAAGTAAAGCCAGGTGCCTACTTTATTTCTCTATACAGAGGAAAAAATTTAGTTTGGAACTTCTGAAAATGTGGATTTAATAAGCTTATCATGTTTGTTCCTACTTTGCCACTTCATCTCCTCCCATTTTTCTCCCAAACAGCTTGTGCTTGATGCTGAAACTTTGTTTTTACCCAAGTTAGTTCATGGGACTTGGAGTCCTGCTGGCAGCTCACAAAAACTTTATGAAATTTGTGTGTGTCCAGATGGAAAGCTTTACCTGTCTGTAGCTGATGTGGATACCACATGCCACGAATACAGTCATATCTGTCTGTAACCTGTCTGCATCTTCCACACAGCACCTGCCTCATTTCAATGAACACGTCAATGAATGTTTAAGTGCTGACATCATGCCGTCACACTTAGAATGCAACCTGACACCCTCTAATGTGTAGACAGCACACAGTGACAGAAGACCAAACTCTCAAAAGGAACTCAGAAAGAAAAATAAACCAGTGAAAATGTCTGGATAAAACTAGGTGATTTCAAAGTGGCATGTGGATGTTAGACACAGAAAAGAATATCAAAATAGTATGCCTATCCCAGTAGGTTGATGTCACAGGGAAATGTCAGGTTTTGAAATATTTTGATCTGATTTTCAATATGTAATTAAATGAATAAATTATAAAAATTAATCATTCATTTTTATATACAGTCAATAAGCAATAAAAATCAACCTACATTTTCCACAAATTTTATAGTTTGAGTGTCTTTCTTTAATCCTCACAACAATCCTTTGGAAGTTTCCCACATTCCTGATGACAAACAATGACTCAGAACAAGGTCACATAATATCTACTGAAGTTAAAGTAAAACGTGATTCTATATTTGCATACATGTTTTCACTTTAAAAACCTTGATAGGTTGCTTCATTCCATCCAAAACAGCCTGTGTAGATGGGATAGTACTCATAGAGCAAGAAACTAAAGTACAAAGGGATTTTGTTATCTACCACCACTCCAATATCAGTTAGTAAATGGTGGGATTCCCAACTTTTAACCTGTGTACTTTCTCTCATAATAAAGACTGGATATAACTTCATAGAACTAAAGTCTGTTTACTAAGGTACATTTTGAACCCCCCTTGGCTGTAGATAGTCCTTGACTATAGATAGTCCTTGACTATATGTCAAAAAGGCACAATAAATCTATGGAAACAGGTTTGCTTTGTGTAAACCACCCACTTTATAAAATGCCCTTCATCACAAACAACAGCGTTTTGTTTTGGATTGTTTTGTTGACCAGTTATTACAGTAAGAATTCTCAAAAAGCTCAAAATGTAGCAAAGCAACAGGACTGCAAACTTTTAATTACAGGATTTGTAACTTTTAAAAACAAGTCAAATTCATTTTCTGCAGCTTCAAAACCAAGACAAAGTAGAAAAGTGAACTATTTCTAATGCTGTCTTCACAGGCTACCCTTTTAAAGTTTAGCCTACTGATAGCAACTCCCCATTTTTAAGTTGCTAGTATTCATAAGACACTTGATATTGCATACTGTGCTTCCTAAGCAGTAAAGAGAAAATTCAGCTCTAAGTATGTTCCTAAAGCTATGTATTAGGTAGGACGTTTACAGATTATAAATTAGTATTAACTCTTTCCCTTCAGTTAAGTCCTACTTTTAAAAATCAATACCTGTTTTCTTAGTACAACATTTCCATTGCCAAACTAGTGTTTTTGTTTTTGCCATTCTAGTGTTTATTAAAAAAAATACAAAGAAAGTAAGTCCTCACCTAACATTACTGAATTTTAGAAAGTGCAAATTTATCAAATGATACATATATGTTCTATCTTTTAATATTCCTATATACAAGGAGTTATAGACCAGTGAGTGCTAACATATTAATGAGTAGGCATTAGTTTAAAAATATAGATCAAAATATCAACTTTTAATAGTAAAAAGTTTGACTTGAAATCAAATGGAATTCCTAAGACATGAGAGCTGAATAAAAACCAATCACTCTCTTCTGGTGATAGCCTCCTACTAAGAGGAGGGTGGAATGACCATCCATTCGGAAGGCAGACAAATTCAAAGTAAAATGAATGGATGGACTACATATACGCAGGTCCTATTCTGAATTCACCCACCATGACAATCTGCCTCTTTGAGACAGAGTGTAGAAGTATAGAAGCAGACCACATGTAAAGGATATCACCAAAATGGCAGTAGAGAAGGTTCCTTGTCTACTCCTAAGAGGCACATGTAATAGTTAACCACAGGAACACTACACGGAGAGTACCCATCTTTGGGTGAAACTGAAGTGCTTCAGAGACACAGAGGACAAATGAAGAAGTTCATGCTTCCCTGAAAAGGAGGTAGAAGACAGATAGGGACAGGGATAGCAGGGCTGCAGGACCCATCAAGGGCCTGCAGAGGGGAAAGGGAAAATGCTGTGGAGGCGCACGACCAAAGAGAGGAGCTAGAGTGCCCCATGCAGGCCAGGTACCCAGTTAAAGATAAGAGCAGAGAAAGTAATGGAGATTACACTTACCTTCCCTCTCCCTCAGGATAGTGCTGATCTTGCTAAGTGAGCAGAGTGCTAAATCTTAGATCTGGAAACCCAGAGAGGCTGAATATCAATGGTACCACAGACAAGAATCTGTCCCACCTCCCCTGCACAGTCCCAACCGTGACTGAATACCTCCAGGCTTCTCTAGCCTTATTCAGCAAAAACTTAGATTTCAGTTCCTACAAATGTCAGCAAAGGGGGGAAAACTTAAATAAAACCATAGAATCACCTGAGGAAAAGTAAAAATCAGTCAATACAATAAGTTACTGGTACTTTTTTTTTTAATAAGGAAATTTAAAATGTCAAAATGAGCAGGCAAAATAGATATAAGACAACTTGAGATCTAAAAGGAATATGGCATCACAAGGAGAGACTAATATTCTAGAATCCTAACACAAATTCATGGAAGATTATATCTCCCTACCAAATACAGAGCTCAAAATTGTTATAACCAAGAAACTCAAGAATCAGAATAAATATCAGAAAAGCAAGTCAAAGTGATATTGTAACAACAGGTCAACAGGCGGTCCCCAGGAAAAGGGGAAGTTCCAGATTTCCTGCCCCACCCAAAAGGAGGGTGGAACTGAGCAGAGAAAAGAAGAGAAGGGAAGGAATCTGAAGAGGAAGGAAGCAGGATAGAGAGCCAGAAGGAGACCTGAGGAAGCCACATGGATCAGAGAGCATGTAATGAAGAAACAGTGCTTGTTTCTTGGCCCTGTGCTGGTTGAAACGGATGTGGGTGAGAGACCCATGGGGAGGTTGACTATGATAGTGTTTATATTAACTTTGATTTTGCTCTTTTCCTCCCGGATTTGTCTCTCCATTTCTGACCCTTTTCTATGGGTCCTGGCCAGAAGGTGCTTTAGCCTTGTGGTGGGCTTTCAGGCCTTGCTTTGGACCAATCCCTTTTGGGTTGAATTTTGCCCACGAGGGGATAGGTAACTTCAGGTGTTTGATTTAGAAACTATATTCTTTGTCTTCTGTATTGCATACTCACTGTATTCATTATTATATGTTTTCATTCTTATATGTTTTGTCTTGATGCAGTGGATGGCAGAACCTATTTAGAGCAGGCAGGCAGGTATGGGGGTTCAGTGGTGCCCCTCTCTCCTTGCCCTGTAACAATATATCAGAGGTCAGAAAAACTAACGAAAGATTCAACAAAATTTTTAAACATGCATAAGATCAAAACTAATGTTTATAAGGTCAGAATTGAAGTTTTAAATAAAATACATTCACAATGTAAAGTGCACAATAAATGACATCAAGAAATGAGAGAAAGCTACAGAAGCAGAAAAAAATGAAACGGAGGACATAATTAGTGACTTGGAAAATAGTGTACACAAGACTTAGGCGAAATGAAAGTGTACTTCAAGAACTATCTGACTCTATCAGGAAAGTCAACATAAGGATAATGAATTTCCCCAAGTGGCAAGAGAGTTTAAAGGGGAAGAGAGACCATACTCAAAGGAATAACAGAAGAAAACTTTGAAAGGACCTAAATATACAAGTTCAAAAAGTTGAAGATCATCTACTTATTTAATTGCAAAGAGATCTACATCAAGCCATATAGTGATGAAACTACCAAGAGTTCAAAATATAGGAAGAATATTGAAGGCAGCTGATGGGGGGGAAAGCAGGTAATATATAAAGTTACTCCTATCAGGCTTTTATTAGACTTTGCAGCAGAGACTGCAGATAAGGAAAGAATGGAAAAGAAGAAGATCAACAGTTCCAGTTAAGAATACTTATCCTACAGGACTCTCAGATACAAGGGGGTGAAATAAAATCCTTCTCAGATAAACAAAACCTGAAGGAGAATGCCAAAACTAGATCACCTATACAAACATTGAAAAGACCTTTCCCATATAAATTGAAAAGCAGAATATATATAAAAAAACTGAACACAGAATTAAACAGGAAAAAAAAATAAGCAGATAAAAGGCACAGCAGCACCTCAGGCATCTCTAATTACCCTTACAGAGAATGGCTAGTTGGATCAGAAAAAAAAACAACACAAATTTTTGCTGTTTCCAGGAGACCCATCCAATACCAAAGGTAAACAGTCTCAACAACAAAACAAAACAAAAAACAAACAAAAAAACGGTAGCAAAGCAATCCTATATACAACTGGCATTCTAAAAAAGGCAGAAACAGCCACACTTAGGTCTGATAAAATAGACTTCCAACCAAAAAAAGGTTAAAAAGAGACAGGCATGGACATTATGAATGATTAAGGGATAAATAAGTAGCAAGAAATAACACTCATGTACACACACATACACTAAATTAAGAAATGCAAACATATATGACAACTATTAACAAACTGAAACATGCTGATTCTAATTCAAAACAGTAGGGGTGTTCAACACTTCATGTACATAAATGATAGATCAATGTACATAAATGTACATAGATCAACCTGACAAAACAATTAACAAGAGACTAACAGTCTTAAGGAAATAGATCATTTGTGATTAGTAGCTACTATAGAGCTTATACTCAAAAAAGCAGAGTACACCTTATCAAGTGCACTGGAACATTATCTAGGATAAACAACACATTGGAATAAAAGATTCTTGAAGACTGAAATCATATTAAATATTTTCTCTGATCAAATGGTCCCAAAAGATAAATCAACCACAAAAAAATGAAAAAGGACCTACATTTAGACCAATGAATATTCATTATAAGTTTCAGTGCAGAAATATTAGTATGTTTGACTGGAGGGTGTTGCCTACACCGCTTAAAATGCCCCATTAAAACATTATATATATGTACTGCATCACCTTTCTTACTTATAAATTTTGAAATACATTGGATCTAGAGGTTCTGTATATATGTGTGTGTATGTATATATACACACACACACACATTATATATATATAGGATTACGAACCTTTACTTTTTTTTGAAAGAAAAGCCTAGAAAACACAATTTTCAACAAGATCAACTATCACAACGGTTAAACAGGTCTTTATGTGTGAACAATATATACCTTAAGTGTTAAAACCTAGTTTCAAAGTAGCAAAATCTTCTTTTATAATTATTTTTTTAAAGATTTATTCA